CCCCCCCCAGCCCCCCCTCCCCCCAATCGCCACACCACCAGTAGCCAGTAACGCGAGCATCAATGGATGTACTAAGCCTGACAAACGCAAGGACGATTTATTGGGCTCATTATTACATTTTGACGTCTTCATTCTCGAGCCTCACGCATTACAGTGCCCGTTGTTACCGGCCGCTCATTAGCAATGTGAAACGTTTAGAGTTCAAATATATTGTGTAAATTTCTACTTTAATAATAGACGTACCATGAACAATGGCGTACGCCTGTTTTGATATTACGCTACGCGTTACCACGCGAGTCCGCTTACCTCCACGTGGTGTATCGGTAGTGCCTCGTTTCCTGGAGCCTGAAACAAAAATTGTAGAATATCAGTGAACCGTTCGTCCCAATAAGCAATACTGTTTCTCGCTAATTAATTCATTCAGAGTCATCAGCCTTCGGTCATTGTCTGCTTTCTCATAGCTCTGCAGTCTTTCTCGAGTCCAGTCGAGCCGACTTGAACTTCTAAACCAATTGGCTCAAGTCAAAAGGATACGAAGGAACGAGGGGGGGGGGGAGGCTGTTGCAATCAAAACTTTCGAATTCTACTCGAAGTGAGTTTTCCGGCTTTGGCCCTCGAGGCATCGACGTGATCGTTAAATTAATTCGAGAAATATTCGTAAAATTGGCTAAGGGTATAGAAATGTACTGGTCCAAGTAGACGCGAGCTGATATTTTAATGTAACGTCTACGGGAAAAAGTATATTATTGCCAACATCAGACGCCTTAAATATCGAACGCGATCAGGATCATCGGTCGTCTACGTCGACGTCCTTAAAGATTTCACGAACGTCAAATAAAACATCCACGACCCGAGATCATCGATCGGATCGCTGGTAGCTATTAGAGGGTTGAAATAGCAGACGAGCTTGCTCCGTCCCCCACATCCAGCCACCCCTGGTAAATGTAAGACCTAACGTAGTTAGGAATGCTTACACTGGGCAATTCCCATTTACTCTCGACACTTCCTTCGTCTTCACTTTTTCGCGCCCCTTCCTTCGCGTCCCCCCACGAACCCAGTAAACCCGGTATGCTGATGCTGAACTCGTCTCGGCATTACAACTTTATACACGACCACTCACAAAGCAGAGCGTTAACCCTACCCCGTTTATGAACTTTCCTAAATCATAAATTCCCAGCGGCCCACGGTAGGCACGCTCCAGCCGAAAAACAAAGTAACCATGAACCGAGTGCGACTACGCAAACCAATCTTCGCACGCTGATCTTTCGCAAAAGATCCCAAGACTTCCGGATACGAAAAACTTTTCCGAATCGCTCGTATCTTTCTTCCCACGAGCTTTTCGTAGAGGCAGAAGGGATCTAGGGGATGCGATAATAATTTACGCTAATTTGTCTCTCTGCACCACCGAGCCGAACCAATACCTTTTGTACACAGCTATGCTATGACTTTTCTTCTAATTATGTTCCCCCTTAATGAAAATCCACTTTTCCATCACCCCCCGTACAAAGCATCATCGTCCCCACCGGAGGGTCGACTGCGGTTGACTGCGATTCCCGTGTCTACCCTCTTGCAATTTATACGTGGATATCGGGCACGCGTGCACGGATTTGCCGATTGGTATTAACGAGAACCGATAAACGCGCTATAAACTTCAATCGATAGTGGCGCAATGGTGAGAATCATGACGAGTGATACGTCGATGTTGATGAGGGTTGAGACGCACCCCTATAGATAGACACTTAAACTCGGCAAGTACCTCAAGGGATGATACGCGTGTGTATACCCATAGCCATGTATATCCATGTGTACTTGGAGCATCCTGTGTGTAGTGGGGTTGTAAGTTCACTCTGTTTGGAGAGGGGGAGGGGAGGGGTGAGAAAGATAAGGAGAACGTGGGTAGACTCGCTACTCAGGCCCGATAAGAGATCGTACCTAACTTAACCCCACCTTTTACCCTCTAACCAACGAGCCAACCCCACGATCGAGAGTTTGACTAGAGCTAGAGCTGATACTGTGGCTCCTAGCGGTTTCTTAACCCTTGACGTACGGAATATTTCACGTTTCCGGGCGACACGCGAAAATGGGATCCTGACGTACCGGCCATCCCTTGGCCTTGTACAAATTTTCACGAGTGCCGATAAATATATTGTGGAAAATAAAAATATCAGGATTGGGAAATGCCGGAGCCCGAGTGGTCACGCTTACCAAACAGGAATATTTAAATGTATTCAATGCCGCACTGCAAACGGGTGAAAGTGCTATCACTTTAAAAAGCTTTTTTGCCGAATCTCCATTTCTCACCCCTCGCAGCCTGTCAGCTCGATGTGCAGCAACGTGCGAGCGAGCTTTCGCGTGACGCACTTTTTTTCACTCGTATTCGATAATTTTAATAACAACCAGTTTGCCCTGTAAAATCCACACCGAAGCCGAAGCCTTTTACGCTACGCTTTGCTTGGATATGCGCGGGTATGGGGGATGAGGAGAAAATGGAAAGGGATGGTACATGTGCGAAAACAAAAATATAATTTAAAAAACGAGCGAAATATGAATACGTGGGATTCCGATGATTCTCGGATATATATTATTTGTGTGACGATCCGTAGTTGTAAAAGAAAAAAGAGAAGCCGTAGTAAAATATACGGTATAACCTGGCGTGCAAGCTGGAAATTAATTCCGGACTCTTTATTCGCGATATTTATTTTCGTATTCGAACTCGAATGAACGTTTCTTTCCGCACGGATGCTGTTTGAGTTTGTATCGATACCATACAACGCTCTGTGCTCACAGTCCAAGTATTCACACGATATTGTATCAAAGTACACCATTGCGTAAGTAGTATCACATTTCGATTGAGGAATACGGTATGCTTGTACATAAAATGACTTTATAAAAAATTTGCATATAATCACCAGAAAACAATCGACTTTCGTATTTGATAATTACGATATAATTAATTTTTTTTTTAAATACAGCACTCTTTAAATTCCAGCAATTCGATGTGCACGATTATTTACTTTTATTTTTCGGATAAACGATAAAATATTTTGCGATACCAAGATTATTACATTTCAAAAGCAAAAATCATGTTTTCATCAAATGTTTGCTCAGGCATGAATACTACATGTACATATATATCTATATCTGTATATACATACTAGAGATACAAAGAGCAGCATGCAACAGATATACATATAACAATATGTATTCCACTAAAAATCAAATAATCCAACCCGCTTCTTGTTGTCACGTATGAAATTTGGTATGTGATCCAAAGGAACGCGAATCTAGAAAGCGAATGACATTATATGTTACGTTGTAAGCGGTTTCACTTGAAATTATTATCATTACGAGAGTTTGGATGGTTTCCAGGTTGAAAACGTACGTCCAGACAGAACGTTAAGGATTATAGCCGTACCAACCCCCTTGACAAAACGCCACCCGTCGAGACGCTACAATTGAAACTAGATACCAAAAGTAGTTGAGGACTTCCGGTAGGAAGGAAATCGTCAAAAGAGAGAGAGAGAGAGAGAGAGAGAGCGAGAGAGCGAGAGAGAGTAGGTCTATCGGATAAAACTGTAGAGTGCCCAGTACAATATACCTATATACACATCGATTCCATTTGTTACAAGCGAGAGAGCGAGAGAGAGTAGGTCTTAGATACCAAAAGTAGTTGAGGACTTCCGGTAGGAAGGAAATCGTCAAAAGAGAGAGAGAGAGAGAGAGAGAGCGAGAGAGCGAGAGAGAGTAGGTCTATCGGATAAAACTGTAGAGTGCCCAGTACAATATACCTATATACACATCGATTCCATTTGTTACAAAGTAGTCAAGAATTATGCAAAGGATAAAATACATGTAAGAAGGTGCATCAGTTCGAAAGACATAACAGATAAGATCAAACCAGTCAAATGCCAAAGTCCAGACTATCGTCGACGTTTTGCAAAGTACTTCATGAAAATAAACTCTACTTAATCTGGTAGCATAATCTGCAGGTCTCCTGTAGATACTCAAGTACGAAGCTTCACTTCGAAGAGTTCGTCACGAGTTTCCGAAGAAATTCACAAGTCACCGGGATGGCACTTCGAGGATAAAATATACAGTACGAAAATAACTTGGATAATAACGCAAGCGTAATCCCAGGATTGAAATCCAAACGGACAGTTTTCCTCTGAATTAAGGAAGGATGCTGCACGAGGACCAACCTGAAAATTCCAGTCCAACGGATCTGCATGGCAACCCTCTTTTAATTAATGATTCCAATCTCATTTATCATTATTGTTTCTCCGATGTTTCTGGAACCTCCCCATAGCTTTATCCCAGTCTTCCTCTCCTC